GGGGGGCATGGGGGGGGGGGGGCGCGCTTCCGCGCGCAGCAGACATGCTCCGGATGTCGGTGGCCTGCGTGGCGGGGCTGCGCGCGCGCGGCCGCCATGGAGCCCGGGAGGCGGGGGAGAGGGGGGAGGGGGCGAGAAGGACATACAGGAAAGTGCAGGAGAGGAAAAGGGAAACCAAGGGAGCACAGTTCTGGTCCCTCGGGTGGGCCTCGCCGGAGTGGACGCCACCACAAAAAAAGGCCCGAAAGGCCGAAGTCGCCGCCGGGGGGGGGGGGGGCAGACCGAACACCGGCGGGCCCCGGGCCGCGGCGCCGCGTCAGGGGGGGACGGCCGGGGGGGGCGAAGGCGGGGGTGGCCGAGGGCCGGCGGTGTCGCAGAGACGGGCGTGTCGTATCCAGGCGCGCCGCGCTGACCCGGGCAAGCCCGCCCGAATCTGGACCTGGAGCATTGCGCGTGCGCCCTCCCCCGCGCCCGTGGAAGAGAAACGAAAACACGGCAGCCCGCCAAAATAACGCCGCCCCATCACCTCCTCTTCCCTGTCACTCGCAGGCGGGCGGGGGGGGCCTGCGCATCCCCTTGCCGGGCTTGGGCCAACCGGGGTGTCGTCCGTTGGTTGCACGGAATCGATGCCCTTCCGGAGGGATGCCTCCAGGCCGCTTCTGGCCGCAGGGCGCACCGAGCACAACGTGCTTTTGCATGCCCAAGGCCCCCCCCCCCCCCCCCCCCCTCCCGGTCCTGTCCCGTGGGCAGGAAGGAGGACCCCATCTGCCAGGCCCTGGCAGAAGGGCAGCAGCACCCTGGAGGGGGGGGGGGGGGGGGGGGGGGGGGGGGGGGGGGGGGGGGGGGGGGGGGGGGGGGGGGGGAAAGGCTGATGCAGAGGGAGGAGGTCAGCGGGGCAAGGGACCGCGGTTGGGGAGGGGGAAGGGGGAGAGCGAGCGCGAGGGGGAAGGAGGGAGGGAGGGAGGGAGGGAGGGAGAAGGAAGGCGAGCAGACAAGTGCGCTGACCATGGGGCGCAAATGCCGCGAGAGCCGTCATGAGGACGTGGTAGGGGGAGGGAGGAAGCAGGACAGCAGGGATAACGGGGGGC